GCCCTGTTCCAGGTCACCTTTACTCTAGGGCTGTATTGATGGAGAGATGGAACTGGGGTAGGACCAGCCTTGAGGCAGGAAGAACACTCAATAAGGTCTGCACAGGGCTGCAGAAAGAGCGCCTCCGTGTGCTGAGAAGCTGCTTAGCTCCCCCTTCTACTTTCTACAGTGGGGGAAGAATGCTCTTCTCCCATGTGTCTTGAGACCCTTAGTGCAAGCTTCAGAGCCTGTGCTCTCTGCGTGTTTTAACCATGTGCCCAGCTTTCTCCTTGTATTCTCTAGGCCTCCCATGCTCCCCATTCCCAGTCTCTCTGGTTTATAGTTTCAGGAGTCTGCAGAGCTTATTTGGATGGTGCTTTTCAAACAGAGCCACAATTGGGTGCTTAAAGCACAATCATTTTCAGTGTCCGTAGGCTCTTTCATCTGTTTGCAGAGGCTCCGAGGAATGGTCAAGACCATTCCTTAATTGCCTGAAGTCAATTAAGCACAAGAGGCCCCAGAGAGAGGAAAGCTCAGTTTCTATGGAGAGTCTACAATGGAGGACGCTGTGAGGTCCCCAAATGTAAGGAAAGGGATGTTAGTTACGGTGTCCAGCACATGTGTACTTCCTATGGCCAGGAACCACAGCTTATGTTGGGCCCCCAAAGGATTTACGAGCCCAGGAAGATGAAAGACCATGAGATCTAATCTAACCCCTTCATTCGACTAGTGATATAGAAGTTCAGGCCTGGTTCCTTGCCCCACATGGACTGACCTTATTTAATGAAACTTCATCAAAAGCTTTTCCCCTAAACCTTGCTTTTCTTTCAGTGAGTTGATTTCTCTACTATTACAACCTACTCTGGGAAAAGGGAGGATGCTTGGGAAAGTTGCATTGACTTTTAAAGCCACAAGGGTATCGTTTTGTGCATTCCTGCCCCAGCAATTATTACCTTCTGAGAGCCTGCAGAGCTCTCCTGCCTTCCCTTTGGTCTCCGTGGGGACTCATTATGCTTCTAACAGGCAAGTCTGAAAACTTACAGTGCTGGCTTACCAGAAGGGTTTGCCTCGGGAATTTCACAGACAGGGCTGCTTCTGTCTTGTAAAGAAATTTACATCCACGTAGCAGAATAGGGAATGACCGCAGATGATGGTAATGGGACTGCATTAATATTACATGCCTGCCAGGCAGAGAACCAACAGGTTTTAATAGCACAGATCTATTTATCCCCTGCCCCTCTCCTCCATGAACGGGGCTGAGGGGTAGTAGTATTTCCTCTTTATGGATTAGGAAACACAGACTCAGCATTTTATTATCCTCCAGAGCTGGAATTCTTTTTTCTAAACTATTTTATTTATTATTTTTGTTCATGTGTATGAGTGTATTGCCTGCATGTATATAAGTATACTCACTGTTATGTGCAATGCCCGTGGAGGTCAGAAGAGGGTGTTGGATTCCCCTGGAACTGGAGACCATGGATGGTTGTTAGCTGTCATGTGGGTGCTGGGAACTGAACTTGGGTCCTCTGCAAGAGCAGCTACTGCTCTTAACTGCTGAGCCCCCTAGAGCTGGACAACTTCTTCTTCTTCTTTTTTTTTTTTTTTTGGTCTTTTTGAGACAGGGTCTCCCTGTAGCCCCAGCTGTCCTGGAACTCACTATGTAGACCAGGCTGGCCTTGAACTCACACAAATGCACCTGCCTCTGCCTCCCAAGTGCTGGGACTAAAGGCATGCACCACCAGCTAGAGCTGGACTTCTTAACAAGGGTCCTTGAATGAGGCTTCAAATGATTTGCAACACAAGTAGATAATTTGCTTGTCCATAGGTATGGAATGGATATGATTTTCTTTATATTCTATAAAGTTCTGTAACTGTCAAAGATTCAGAACCGCTACAGTGGAGTGCCTCTTGTAAAAATAATTAGAAAGTATTAAGGTATAGATATGAATTGTCCCCCTCAAAGTCTCATGTATAGTCTTGGTCCTTAGTTTGGTGGGTCTAATCATTTGAGAATCTGTTGGATCCTGAAGGTTCTGACCTAATTGATGGATTAACCCCTGTTGGAGTCATACTATGAAGGCATTAATGAGAGAGAGGGTCCTGCTGGAGGAAGTGGGGCATGTGCGCCAACAGAACTCATCTCAGCCCTTCCTGTTTCTCTTTACTTCCTGAGTACCATCAGGTGGGCAGCTTTCCCTCCACCATTCCCTTCAGTCATGATGTTTCTGCCTTACCATAAGCCTAAAGCAACGAAGTCAATGGACTGAAACCCTTGGAAACAGCCAAAAAAAATCCCAAAGAAAGACAAATAGTTTCCTCGTTTTAAACTGTTGTTGTCAGGCATTTTGTTACAGAAATGAAAAGCCTAACACAGCTAGTACACCTTATTGATGCTCACTCTTACATTTTGATGTTTTCTCCTGTTTTTCTTTGATTGCTGACTTTTATAACAGTAGACAAAATTGGAAGCAAGAACAATTTTGAAGAATTATGTTTAGATATTTCTTGTAACCTATTTATGTTCTGGAAAGTTTAAAATCTTGCTTCTTCTTAAGATAGTCCCATGTCAAGTCCCAGCACTACACCATGGAAAGAAACTTCTAAAACTCGCAGGCTGATCAGGTAGGGAAACTAAGGCCCAGACAGTGGATCATGCTGAATCCTAATGAATCGGTGACTGAGATGGCATGGTGCTTGTTCCTTTTTAAGAACTCAACTCCAACTGCAGCTGGAACCTCTTGCCAATATTGCTCAACAAATGACAGTACAATGTGCCTCATTTTGTGACATTATGCAAATGAAAGAAATAAGACTGAGCGGCCTTCTGTCCAGAGATCAGGAAATGAAGGCTGGCTGGGGCCACATGTTCCCAGGGACATACAGTGTCACAAATGGGTTCTGGAAGAACCAGGCCTTTGTTCACATCTGTTTCCAGTGAGCTCCTTTTCTCAGCCTGGCTTAGAAGGGTTTGCTCCCAACCCACACTCCCAGTGTTAACCAAACAGAATCTATGAGGGGACTGGAGAACTGGCTCAGCAATTAAAAGCACTGATTGCTCTTGCAGAGGGCCTGGGTTCCGTTCCCAGCACCCACATGGCAACTAACAACCATCTGTAATTCCAGTTCCAGGGGATCTGACACCCTCTTCTGGTCTCCACAGGTACTGCATGCAGGTGGTGCACTTACATACACACAGATGAAATATTTATATGTAGAAAATAAAAACAAACATTTTTTAAAAAGAGTCTTATGAGGACCTCTAGGTAGTACTCTCTATAGAACTGCCATCAGAGGCTCCTTCCCCCTCAGGCTTGCTCCCCACTGAAGGCAACATCTGAACATTCTGGAATAGCTGTTTTGAGACAACTGGTCCACCCCATAGGAAGCAGAGCTACTGCCACAATGGAGCTTACATTTGGGGTCAGAGAAGGGCTGATGCTTGTTAGCATTTACTGGGTTTTATTTTTAATTCCTTCCCCTTTACAGGCTGACTGCATCTTGGTTGGAATTCCCTGAACCTTGGCAGCCACTGTGAGGGAAAGTCTAGTGCTGCTCTCAGGAAGCAGGGGTCAGTTATGGAAACTGTCCAAGCTCTGGTGTTTTTCAACTAGACATAGCAGTGTTTCATCAGAGGGGATGGTGACAAGACACCCAAGAAATGTGAAGTGTTTATAAGAAGGATAGTGCTTCCCACAGAGAAGGCAAGTCAGAAGAGCTTTTAGAGAACATGGGAAAAGTGGCCCAGGGAGAAGTATTGGTTGTAGAGGCCACAGAGCCAGGTGGCTGCAGCTGGGCTAGAAAACTGGGCCTTAGGGGTGAGCTGCTGTAATCTGGGCAGCTCTGCACACTTGTCTTTCTAGATACCTTTATACTCCCGGTGTAATGCTCAAGCTTGGTTCCAAATTGTACCATTGGTTAATGTAGGGATCCCTCAAGTAAAAATTTCAAGGACTGGAAAGATACAGCTCAGTGGTTAAGAGCACACACTGTTAGCCACCTATAACTCCAGGTCCAGGGGATCCAACACCCTCTTTTGGCACAGGGACACCTGAATTCACATTCACACCCCCAGGCACATATACATGCACATAATTCCAAATAGATCTTCAAGTTTTTTGTTTTTTTCTTTCAGTCTTTTAAACACTCTCTCGCGTGGGAAGCCTTTGCCCCCAAGCTGCCCCACCCCACCTTCCCATTCAGTCAGGGAATTTGCTCTCCCTTGGCCTCTAAGTCAGCTGGAAGCAGGCCAGCCTGGCATCCAGGGCTCCTGCTAAAACTTGGCTGTAGCAGGCTGTGGATGCGCAAGGGTCTACTGCCCACTGCCACTCTTGTGAAACCAGCTTTTCATGCTCACCTGCCTCTAAAGACTTCAAGCCTTCCTTCGTGTCCCCTCCCTTTTCTGCTCCACCCAAAGGGTTGTGCAAGAGCCAAGGGAACTTGTGATAATGGAGCCACATGCCCAGGTCCAACCCAGGCCCAAGGAACTTGACCTGAGGCACGAGGGTAAGCAAGAACACTTCTAGCTTCCAGGCCAGACGGGTGGCCCGGCAGCCACAAGGAAACTCATGAATGCCAAGGAGGGGAAGCTCGAATTCTTATTTATAGCGTGAGGCTGCAGAGGGGGAGAGCGCAGATCCCTTTAGAGCTTGGCACATGATTCATTTCCCCCGGGGACTACCGGGCCAAGGCAGGGCGTGCGCTGAGGCAGCCTCCCGCCCGCCGCACACTGGCCTGCTCGTTTATTTATGGTGCTTTATCAGGGGTTATGCACAGCGGCGATAAAGTTTATGAAAAGAGGCGGCGTCTCCGGCGGCGGGCTGGGCCCGGGCGCTCCTTTCCCACACTGATTAGGATCAGCCGGGGCTTTGGAAGCGGCAGTTAAGGATCTGGGTGCCGGGAGCCGGCTCCCCTTCCTGCTCCGCCCGTGCGGGCCGGCTGCGGGCCGGCGGGGGAGGGGGGTGTGGGGGGGGCGGGGGGGAGGGCTGTGTGGGGGGGGCGGAGGTGAGGGCGGGTGGCAGGAGCTGGCTCACCTCCGGACGGTGCAAGGCTCGGTCGGCGACGGCAAAGCAGCCTGGGAATCCAGCGTCCAGACCCCACTTGAAGAGGTGGGTGGAGGTTTAGGGGAACTTAGGCCACCCATTGTGGCTTCTTTTCCACCTCTCCTTTTCTTTTTGCATGCATTTTTCCTTTGAATTTGGGTTGAACAACATTTTGTAATTGCTGCAGACAGATTTAGAGATGAATACCCCTGGCCACAAAGAGTGAGTCTAGAGAAGGCGCAGCCCAGGGTTGTAAGTCACAAGAGCAGGCTCAGGCTGGACTTCCTTCAGTCACACTAACTTGCTTCCTCTTTATGGTGACCTCAAGGTCATTATCAGGCCATTTTACAGATGGTTAAAAACTGAGGCTCAGAGAGAGAGTAAGTGACTTATTTAAGATGACTCAGGCAGTTGCTGAACCAGAGTTTGACTTTAGTGGCTGTGGTTCAATAGCAGAGCACCTACCTAGCACAGGGAAGGCCCTAGGGCTCATCCCCCAACATTTCACACAAGAAAGTAACCTGAACCTTAGCAAATGGGAGCAGAGCACACTCACTAAACTTCTGAATTTGCCCACCTCTCTAGAACTGAGAACTAATCTGGCCTGAAATGGCCACTGTGGACATCCTGTGGAGGAGTCATAGTTTTGAGATTAGCGTTATGATTGATCTTCATAGCCAACCTGACTGAAGTTAGAATTACCCAGGAGACACAGCTGGGGGTGTTTTTGAAGGTGTTTCCAGAGAGGTTTAAGGAGAGAAGACCCACCTTGAACAAGAGTGAGGACATCCCATGAACTGGGGCCTGCACTAATAAAAAGGAAGAAGCATACCAAGGGCATTCATCTTTGTTTCTTGACTGCAGATACAAGGTGACCAGCTCCCTCACACTCCCACTGCCACACCTACCCTGCTGTGATGGACTGTTTTCACTTCAAACTGTGAGCCAAAATAAACCTACCCTTCCTTAAGTTGCTTGTGTTATTTTCTCACAGCAATGAGAAAGTAGAGGTCCACCAGACAGACATGGTGGTGGGATGGTGGCATTTCAAACAGAGAAATCATATGTAGAACTGCTTCTCAGGGCCAGCTGCTTTCACCGTCCACTGTCCCAGGAATGGGAAGAGCAAAGGCTCTCTCTTTTGTGGTTGCACTCAGCCTACTTCCTTGACCTGGACTGTCCTGCCTGGAGCTACTGAAATCCCACCACTCACCAGTCTTCACACCCACACAATCTCCCTCTGAGATCACATCCAGTCTGCTCCTTATCTCCTTGCCTAAGACTAAAGACAGACCTTCCTTATGCCTCCCTCTGGCTGCACCTGCCTCTCTGCATGAGAGCCCTTGGAGCTGGTCTTCATTATTACACTGCCCTGGTGCAATCCTTCCCTTATTGCTTGCTTTCTGCCTCACACCTGGTTTGATAGCCTACACACCAGAGGTGTTTGGTAACTGTAGTTAGTGAATACATAGGTGTAAGAGGAGAGGTGGTCTGGAACAGCTTCTCATCTCACAGGTATCTGTGCCTCTATGGATTTCAAACTCAGGCAGGCTAAAAATGGAGATCTGTGTCCCCACCAGAGGTCTGGACTATGCTGCCAAGAGAACATGAAGACCAGAACACACCTAGCAACCAGACTGACTGAGGCCAAGTAACCCAAGCTGTTGGCCCTTAAAATCCCTCCAGACAAGGAGTGGGATTAGTCCTGGGGCCAGGGCCTAGCGACGAGTCAACAAACGGAAGTCATGTTGCCCTAGTTATGGGGGAGAGTGCTGTGAGGGCTGGGAGCCAGGCAGGTCATTGCATAATCCAACTTGAATGCAGTAAAGCATTCTGTTGGGCTGGTGGCACGGTGGACATTTGACTCCACAGAGTACAGCAGCAGCTATAGGCACTTGCCAGGTTCATTGCTCATGGGATTAGGGCTGTGTCATGTTTTTTTGCTGGGTTTTGTTTTGCTCTTTTAGAACTAAACTTTTAGAAGCTCAATTGGAAAAGTCATATATAAATGCACTTTTTAAAGTAGAAAGAGGGGCTGGAGAGATCGCTCAGTGGTTAAGAGCATTGGCTGCTCTTGCAGAGGGCCAGGTTCGGTTCCCAGCACCCACATGGTGGCTAACAACCATCTATGATTCCAGTTCCAGGGGATCCAATGCCCTCTTCTGACCTAGTCAGGCATCACATGACACAGGTGCAAGCAATACACTCATACACTTAAAATAAAAATAATAAAATATTGTTTTAAAGTATTAAGAGCCTGCCATGATGGAGCATGCCTTTAATCCTAGCACTTGAGAGGCAGAGACAGGTTGAACTCTGTGAGTTCAAGATAAACCTGGTCTACACAGCAAATATTAGGCCACAGAGTTACATAGTGAGATCTTTCTCAAAGAAGAAGAAAGAGGAAGAGGAGGAAGAGGAGGAGGACCATTTAAAGGGGGTATACAAAGAAAATTCTACCTCCAATAATATACCCTCTAGTTCATCATTTCCCTCCAACATGTAGTCATGCTTGAGAACATTTTCAAGGCTGGGGATGTAGTTTAGTTAGTAGAGTGCTTTGCCTAGCATGCGTGAAGTGGTGGTTCAATTCTCAGCACCACATAAAGCCAGGCGTGGCAGCCCACACCTCACATTAGCACTCAGGAAGTGGAGACAGAAGGGTTGGAAGTTCAGTGTTACTCTCAGCTCTGTAGTGAATTTGAGGTGAGCCAAGGCTACACCAGACCATTTCTCTCAAAACTAAACAATTTCTTTTTGCAAAAATGCACACACACACACACACAAACATTTGCATTTTTACAATGACCCAGTGTGGGTGGCTGTTATGAATAAATACATTTGCAGGCAATGTTTATATGATGATCATTGGTGCTCTGGAAAAGAAGATTAAGATCCTTTGATTTTGAGAATTGTAGAATTAGTCTTTGGTATTCTGAATGAAGCTCAGTATTAAAACAGTGTGCACTAACAAACTCTGGGCATCTGAAGTATTACCTAGACAAGGCAGATCTGGCTCAAAGGCAGTAGAAAAAAGACCTAAGGAGGAGTGATTGGCTAAAACTTGAATAGATACTGCTAGGCCATTTTAGTCAGTGCCAATAGCTAGTCATAAGGATGGATCATAAGGAAATGACTGATGGAGATGCAACAGTTATTTGATAGGTAGATTCCCACCAAAGTATTGACGCACTAGTGGTGTTTACTCTGCTATATAATTTGGGGGGGTGGTCATAGAGGTGAACAGGGAATACTGAAGTGCCCTCCTGGGATGGTAAAATGGAGGGTGCTCTTATAGACTAGCCCCTGCAACTAGAATCATTCAATCCAGAGAAGGAAAGGATAAGAAGTGACTTAATTATTGAAGCACATGGCAGAGTAAGTTGAATTCACTCAGGCTCCCAAAGACCAGTGAATTTGTAAGGGGTGCTGTATCCCATGCCCTTCCTAACACAAAGGCTTTCTAGGCCCAGGAGCTATCCTGACTCTCCTTATTCCTACAGGGCTGTATAGGCACTGTGGACTCCAGAAAGCTTTGTGAAGTCTGGAGCAATAAAACTTTATGTCTTTTCCTCTACTGAGTGACATTCCAGCAGGAGGATCCCCAAGTTCTACCCTTGTGTACTCACATAAGACCTCACAAAGTGGTCATTCCAGGGTTTTTTTTTTTGTTGTTGTTGTTGTTTTTATGGTCTCTTTGCTTCTCAACAGGACTATAGAAATCCAAAGCTGGGGCTGGAGAGATGGCTCTGCAGTTAAGAGCACTGGCTGCTCGAGTAGAAGACCTGGGTTTGGTTCCCAGCACCCCCATGGCAGCTAACAACTGTTCATAACTCCAGTTCCAAGGGATCCAACACCCTCTTCTGGCCTTTGAGGGCATTGCATACAAATACATAGTGCACTTATATACACACAGGCAAAACACTTATACACATAAAATAAAAAATAATTTAAACAGAAGTCCAAAGTTTGTGTGGTTAAAGGATATTCAGAATTAGTTGCTTTTCAGTGAACAAGACTGTCTTCCTGGATTAACCTGGGGCTTCTTATATCTCATTTCCCACAGCCTAGTCTACCTCCCAGGAGGCAGAGGGCCTCTCACACAGCTGTCAGGCACGCTCAGACATGTCAGAACACAGCTCAGGTTTAGCCTAGGCTCTAGATTTGCCCTAATAATAACCAGCAAGTGTTCAGCTGTTTTGACAAAAGATTCTAATGAATTGTTCTATGAGGAAGGCCAACGGGGAGGCTCTGGATACAAACTATAGCAGGGAAGGATTTCAGTGAGGGAAAAGAAAGATTCCCTCCCTCCCTCCCTTCTTCTCTTCCTCCCTCCCTTTTCCTCTCCCTCTCTCCCTCCCTTCCCTCCTTTGCACCTTCCTTTCTTCCAGTTCCGAAGATTGAACTTCCAGGGTCTCACTTAGTTGCCTAGGCTGGCTTTGAACTTACTTCATAGCTCAAACAAGACTAAACTTGTGACACTCCTGCCTCAACCTCCTGAGAAGCTGGGATCATGGACTTACACCCCCAGACTTGGTGAAAGATTGATGATACTAAGGATGATACTAAGGCAAGATATTGCAGTCCTCCTTAGAATTCTAGAGCTTTCTTGCTAGCAGAGGAAGCTTAGCCTTTGGAACTGAGCTGCCCCAGCTTTAAAACAGAATGGTCCTTTCCTCAACTCAAGTCATGGAAATTTTCCATATAGATTTTTTTTCCCCTCCACACATTTTTCTTAAGTCTTAAACCTTTACACCTGCAGGCAACAAAACTAATGAACAAGTAGTAAACAGATATGAACCGGGAAAGTTGGAACCACGGATCCTGCTGAGTTTGTTGCTCTTTTTAAAGAACATGTGTGTTTGTGGTTTTATACTACCGGCCCATAATGCAGGCATATTTTCTGCTATTAAAATCATTCTTAATTCACAGGATGGAAAGAAACAGACCATTATTCCTGGGTGTTCCGGGAAGAGCCTCATGTTTCAGGAAGCAAAGGATGACCTTTCTTCACCACCTGAGCGCACTTGATCACTGTTGTAGGCTGAGGATGGCGGGCTGGTTTCCTTTCCCTTCCTTCCTCCCTCTGCTGTTCACACCTTGGCCCTGACTGACTCCCCACCTCTGCCAGGCTAAAGATAACCTCTTGATCTGGGACATCACCCACAAGCTAAATTTATTCTCAGGGGTGAGTTAGGGTTATCCTGACCTGTGACTCCAGGCAGGCACCTGAGCAACCCTGGCTGTAAGGCAGCTCAGGAGGGGGAAAAGGGGGAAGGAAAGATACAGAGAGAGATGGAAGCTGCTGAAAGGCCTTCAAAGAAAGAGGGACACACCCGTGACACACTGTGACTGTAGCATAAGTCCTGTGAGCTTGCAGGATTTGACTGCTTCCCGCAAAGACTCCTTTCTGTCAGTTAAAATGTTACTGTAATACAACTCCAGAAGGAAAAGCCCAGTGTTAATCAGGGCTCAAAAGTCAGTGGACTTGATGTACAAAATGGGGTATTTAATTTTATGATGTGGCTATGGGTTACATGAGAGACTAATAAAAGAACTCCATAAAAACGTGGCTTGCAGTGGTGGGGGTTACAGCCTCTGCCAGAGGGGCAGCTCTCCTTAGAAGTGGTTTCTGAGTAAAGCTGCTATCTGGCTGGTATGTGCGCCTGTGGCCACTCTGGTTCTTAAACTATTGCAAACCTTCTGTACCCATCATTAAGTAACGACCTCTCTTAGCTTCCCTGAGAACTGTTCTGTTGCCCCATCTGCCCAGCCCCTTCCCCCTCCATCCGGAGGCCCTCTGGGACTTGCCCACAATCCAACCAACAAATGCAGAGAGACTTCAGACCCAGATCTATGCCTTGTCTCTAATGTCACCTCACTCTTCAGTGGCTGGTGCCACTGCATAATATTTGCCAACCTTTTAAATATCTTGCATTCCACAGCTTGTCTTCCTGGGGCTGGGTCTTCCAGATGCCTGTGGAACAGAACAGGGACACGGTTCTACAAGAGTTTCCTGCACAGTCCCACAGTACCCACAGGCTTTCTTGAGGGGTGCTGCAAGGACACACCCAATCTTTTCCTTGAATCATACTTGGCAACCTTGAAGGAGAGCTTTAATAGGCACAGGGATGACCTCAGGGCAGAAGAACACTCTGGAAGAAACAGACAAATTTTCATAAGATTGCCCAACTGAGAGTTACCGTAGAGTTGGAATTAGGATAGTTGTACCATCCCTGGGTTCTCCTCATGGCCAGTACAGACCTCTCTATGCTACTGTCCCAGAAGACAGACAGCGCCTTTTGGGCCATACCCACTGCCATAGAGCACAGCTCCTTGACAGGAAGCTTACTGTATGTACCAACAGGGACTGAGATCTCCTCAACAAGCATAAGTGAGAACTGAAATCTTCCTGTGCAACTTAAATTTTGGTCTATCATTTAGATAGACTTGCAAGTCCAAAGAGCCATGACAAAGCAGCGCCATTGACTGATATGTGCTGAATTATCAGGTGAGCAGAGAGGTAATTCATTTATTCAGCCAACCGGTGTTTATTGGACAGTGCCAGGCAATGGGCCTGGTGCTGGAGGTTCAATATAGTCTGGGAGTGATTCTGCTCTGAGAGACCGTCTGTGCCACTGTTAGCTGTTGGGAGGAGACCCCTGGAACTTGGGCTGATCATTACCTCTAAACTTCATTCTGTGCCTAGGTCTATCCTAGATGAGGTCCATCCTGGGTGACTCTGAACAAGAAGCTTCCATCTTTGGTCTGCCTTTGTCCTCACTGGTCACCAACGGCCTTTTGAGTCAGTGAAGATGAAGGGTTGAAAATGGGGCCTCAGTTTATAGACACTGGATGGAAAAGCCTAGCCCTGCTTGCTGGCGCCTTCATTCTACTCTCTAAAAACACATGTGAAAGCCAAACAACAGGATCCTCTGTTGTATTTTGCTGAATGGGCAACTGAATGGAATAATTCTTTTATCTCTCATCAATAAGAGGTATTAGATGATGTAAGAAAGACAAGTTATTTATAAACATCATCTAAAGGTAATAATTTGGTGTGTATTTGTGCAGACATTTTTATTGGTTTTAATATGCTTTGTACATGAGGGAGACACATGCACATGAACATGTGACACACCCATTGACTATCTTGCATTCCTAATAAGCACAATTTTACATTTTAAATTACATTTTTATTTATTTATCAGTGGTGGGGGGCATGTGGATGCCAGAGGACAACTTGCAGGACTTGATTCTTTTCTTCTACCATGAGGGCTCTGGGGTTTGAACCCAGATTCCCAGTCTTGGTGGTAACACCTTTACCCACTGAGCCATCTCACTGACCCATAAACACAGTTTTACAGTAAATCCAGTTATTCAAGGACATTTACTTAATGAGTATAACATGAAGAATTTTCCCCCAAAGGAATCAGAGGAAAACAGGGTTAAATGATCCCAGAAGCAAACAAGGCATCAGCCACAGCCAGCAGATCAAGTGTGTCCTTTACATTAAAAGGAGGATGGTGGGCCGGAGAGATGGCTCAGTGGTTAAGAGCACTGGCTGCTCTTGGAGAGGACTCAGGTTCAAATCCTAGCATGCACATGGTGGCTAACAATCATCTGTAATACCAGTTCCAGGGGATCCAATGCCCACTTCTGACCTCCGTGGGCATTGTACAACACAGGTGTACTTATATACAAGCAGGCAGTATATTCATACACATAAAATAAAAATAATAAAATATTTAAAAAAATACCTGACATAAAAACTTGGGAAAGATTTATTTTAGCTCACAGTTTTGGGCATTTCAGCCTGTAGTTCTTGGGTCTGTTGAGTCCAGACCTATGGGAAGGTGGGATATCATGGCAGTGGACCCATGTGGTAGAAGCTGCTCACTTCAGGGCAGACAGGAAGCAGAGTGAGAGGATGGGGCCAAGGACTTGTCATAACCTTCCAAAGGCACATTTACTTCCTTAGTATTTGTGTTGGGCCACCCTCACCAGCTCGCTGAAGAGACGCTGAATTTGGAGAGGCAGTGGAACTCAGAGATGTCCTTCTTTTGGGAGCCTTGACTGGGACCAGCCCAACACTCTGTGAAGCTGTGCTGAGGACTCACAGAAACCATTCCATTCCTTCCAATACTGGCAGGATTTTTGTTTCTTATAGACCTTCAGGGGCCAAGCTTCTGAGTCTAGTTCTTCACCTATGGGACTCAGTAGGCCTGGAGCAGAGAAGCAAAAGATGTCAAGAAAACAATGGTATCAGATTATACAACCCAAGCAGAAGCAACCAGAACATTCAAACACACTACCAAACATTTAAAAAGGTCCTGAAACTCAAATATATTTTAAACCAAAACACACATGGGATGAGTTAAACCAGACTTAGAAGAGCAAATGAAAACATATCCCAAATATTACACCAAAATGCAAAAAGGTTAAAATCAAGAGAGCATAGAGTCTAGGAGACTATATCCAGGGGGACCTGAGATGTCAGCATGGAGTTGCAGAAGGAGAAAAATGAACAGGTGAAGCAGAGGGGTGGTTAAGCAAATGAGGAAATATCATTGTTCTGACTAGAAAAGACTTGGGCCTGTTGTTTGTCTATTTATTTTTTATTTATTGAGACAGAGTCTCACTCTGTAGTCCAAGCTGTCCTGAAACTCACTATGTATCCCAGACTGGCCTCAAACTCTTGATCTTTTTTCTTCAGTTTCTTGAGTACTTGGATTTACAGGTATGTGTCACCA